TTACGTTTCAGCGACGCTATGAAACAATTTCTTTGCAAACTGTCAACATATTCAATACTTACTAAGTCATCCGCCTGGGCCATTATAAAGCAAAACAAACTGCAACTTAGTTTGTCAGAAATGAAATGGAAAGGCAGCCATTTTGTTTTCGTTGCTATGACAAGGAAGTCGTTGAGCCTGCGATCTTCGGATATTTCCGTGATCGTTCGTGATCCATCGTGTAAAATTTCCCGTGTGGTCGTTTTCCCATAAGGCATTGCGGAGATACATCATCCGGGAGATTTGCTCGGGCCTTTGCTCGCGCCGAACCACATGCGAGAACATGGCGAGTGTTTTGTTGGGCGGCAGAAAACTTACCGATTTACGAGTAGTAGATCTCCGTCAGGAGCTCGAAAACAGAGGTTTAGAGAAGAGTGGAGTTAAGGCAGTTTTAATAGAACGTTTGCAAAAGGTAATTTGTCGATTTGCGTCGAAAAATATCAGCATTCGCCACGTTCCTTTCGGTATGCAAATCGCGGGAAACTGATCATAGAGCCGTCCGGCTTTCTTGTAGTTTTATTGAGCTGTTAAGCTTTATGTATTTCCACAGGCCTTGGAGCAAGAAGAAGATGTCGATGAGGAAACGGCAGAGTTCATTCCCATTGATAGCATAGATGTTACCGGTGATGAAGACGAAGACGTCACAGGAGACGAGGAACAGTTGCTCTTGAGTCCGTTCACATCGCCCAAGAGAGAAAGTGGGTCGCAGAAACAGGCGAAAAAGACATCTATTACACCGATTTTAAGTAAGTTAAGATTCTTATCGTATGCAGTCGGTCGAAATTTCCTGCAAAAGACTACTCTGAAACCTATAAATGTTGAATTCGTTTGCAGAGAAGAAAACTGCAGAGAAGGTCGAACAACCACCAGAGGATGCGGTGAGTTAAGAAGAATTTCTGGAGTTAACATTTACCAAACGGCGTGGAATTTCTAACTTGACAATAGTACAATAAAATCCAGCGGGAGAGTGTGTTGTACTATCTGCATCATACCTTTGGGACAAAGATGTTTAGTACCAAGTTTAGTACGATCCTATTCTTTAACCAAATGGAGGAGTGAAATAATGGCCTAACCATGTTTGTAGACATTCCATTTCGTATTCAAATTGATCCTGTATTGACAAAGTCACCTCACTCCAAACTTTGAGCACTTATGAGCTCCTTGCTAAAACTAGAAGTAAAAGTGAAAAGTATAACTTTATTGCACCTATCAGTGTAAGTGGGAGTGTGGGCAAGAGGCGGGGACTTGATGCTTGGGATGATCCCCAGTCAGACATTTGACCATGCAAAGCGGTCCTGGGATGGAGAAATTTGACTTTCACCGAAAGATATGTGATGAAATAATCAAACACAGTTACCAAGTATGGAAAATGCTAAATTGTACCACAACGTATGTAAAAAGAATGTGTAAATTAAGTAAATTAAGTAAAATTAAAATGAAGTATTAATTAAAATTAAAATTAAGTATTATAAGGTAGCTTTTAATTTTGCACCAGCCTCTGTAAAAATCTATTGGCCTTAAATTGAGTTAGTTGCTAGCACTTGGCTAGCAGCACTGTGAAGTTATTAAGCTGTACAGGAGACTGAACAAATGATATGGGTCTTCTCTTTAGCAGGAGGAAAAAGGTGATGTCCAGAAAGAGGATGATGAAACAGGAGTGGAAGAAATCAAACAAGAGCCTGTTGATACTGATGAATCCGACAGTAATAAGCTTGAAGACATCATCGACACTTCACTGACAGTGAAATCTGAAGTCACTGGCGATGATGACGATGTTGAAGAGAAACAGGATACCGAGAAGGATGTCGAAGAGAGTGATGCAGACTTGTTACAGAATGATGGCGATATTAAGTTAGAAGACTTGGAGGAGCCAAATGGGGTGGAAGATAATAAAGAGGTTTGTTTAATAATGAAACAGACCATATTCATATCCTCAGTATTAGACTGGTACTAGCTTGTAATTGACAGTTAAAGACAACGCTTGTAACATTATTGAGCATGATGTTTTGATCGCAAAATGTAGACCTTAGATGGTTTCCAAATAAGCCAACTGAATGGCCAGCTATCTAATGGATTTAAT